TTCAAATAAAGTGTCAACAGTTTCTATTGCTAAAAACTTTCCTAAAACTATAATAAGTGCCTGCTAGCCTACTTTCCATTGTGTTTTGATTTTTTATATTTTTGATTTTTTATCTAAATTGGGGATCAGCGGAAAGAGTTTTTGGTGACATCTTGGATATATCAAAATTAATAATTTCATTAGTTTCATTATTAATTTCTGTACTAATATTATCTACATTGTAATCAGTAATTTCATCAGTTTCATTATTAATCGTAATAACTGATTCTATTAATTGATTATGCAATAAATTTTCAGATAAATCAATTGCATAACAAGATAATTCTTGTTTAGCATTAGTAATATAAAATGTATGCAATTTGCACATTGTTTCTACCCATTCTGTAGTCAAATTAGTATGTCTTTGATTATAAAACCAACCCAGAACTGAGAAAAAATGCTTACAAGAAGCACTATGTGGAGTTATTGCAAAAAGATGAAGTGCCAGTGTTTGTAACTTCTATTTTTCTTTTTTATATTGTGCAGTCTTTCACCAAATAATCAGTATATCTGATTTAGGATTGTATGGTTGTTCAAATGATATTTTTTTACTTTTATATTTTCATATTTGGGATAATAGTTTGCTGCATAATTCTTGATCATGTCTTATATTTTTCCAAATTCATCTAGCTGTTATGCTAATATCATGAAATTTTTCTGAATTGATACTGTTACCTAAAAAATACTATTATTAATAAAAAAAAAATTAATTAAAAAAAATTTTAAATTATATTACCATAATATTGTGGATGTAAAAAAAAAGCCAAGAGATAAATATTATTATTAGAAAATTCATCCTAGTGATGATTAAATTTCTCAATACAGTAATTTTTAAACATTATATTTTGATTTGATATATGATAAATCACATTTGCTAATGATAATAAATGAATGTAACAATCGGCAAGATTAGATGTCCTTGATTCTAAGCATCCAACAAAAATTTTAAGAGAATAAAGGACAGATGCAATAAGCTGGCAATTTTCATAAAAATCATGATCATGAAGAATTTTTTTAATTTTATTTTTTAAATCATCCTCATGTTTTGAAAGAATTTATAAATTATAGAAATTTATTAGAATTAAAGTAAAAAATTAATATAGTATCAAAATAAAGGTAGATATTAATAAAATTAGAAGTGCAAACATATTATTGTTACTACTATAAATGACCAGATAGTTTTTATTATGTATGTATTACTTGCAATGTGATACATAAAGTAATTTCAATAAATATTATTATTTGCCATAACTTGTTGAAACTATAGTAATATAGTAAGTTTTAACAATAATGTATATTATTATAACTAGTGACAGCTTATTTTAACAGGTTATTTATATTAAAGTAATTAAGTTATGACCTAATTACGATATTTATTAGGACGATTTTATTACACCACTAATTAATACATAAATATGTTTATACTTCTATGTAAATAAGATTATTATAATTTTAATCTTAATTTACGCACAATATAAATAATTTTATGTAATTAAAATTATATATATAAATTAATACTTACTCTCATAAAAGCAAATTCAAGTGTACAACTGAATTTACACAATTCCACATTATTGACCAATGTGTTTTCATATGGTCTTTTAAATCGCCACCTTTAATTTTCAAGACTTTAATTGCGTCTTTCAGAAATTGACATGCAGCATGTGATTTTGTAAAATATTGATGAATAATGCCTATATTTTTAACTGTGCTTGTTACAAATATGTGTTTGCACATGTTTTCTGTAATTAAATTAATACAATATGTTACACATCTAATATCCAAAATATAAGGATATTTTTAACAAAGAAGTCTTCATGCAACACAAACATTTGCTGCATTATCAGATACAATTGCAGCTATTTTTTCAGGACTAATATCTTCGACGACTTTAATAATTTCTTCATCAAGGAATTCACCTGTGTGATGAAAAATATTGGAATAATTGTTTGAAGACCAAAGATATTCTTTATGTTCTTCAGTGATTATACAATAATCATAAATAGATTGGCCTATAAATATTATTACAAAATGAAATTAATTAATTATTTGAAATCGGGATAATGGGGGTTGATACTTAATTGTTGCATTTAATAATTTATTAAAAATCAAAAATTTTTAATAAATCATAGTATATGATATTTTAATTTTTAACCTGTCACATTGATAATTAATTATGTATAGTTGCAACTAACTATATACATAGTAATATTACCTATAAGGTTGGTCCATCCATCGAATGCGATTGTAAGATTATCTTCTTGATCAAGAATTTGCCTAACTTTTACATTTACTCAAGCTAATTCTTGGTCTAAGAGAGTATTTGATAAAACCCAATGGCTTGGAATAGAATAAGTAGCACGTAAGGCTTTGATATATTCTTGAAAAAATGGATGCTCAACAAGAGCAAATGGTAAATTACAACACACAATCATTTTTAGTAATATTTTGTTAATTTGAGCTTCCTTATTCAATAAAGTAGGAACATTTTCATATTCACTATCAATATTAATGCTATATTCTAATTTTCGTTTTTTACTTGTTGCAGTTGATGTTGAAGCTGTATCATTATCTGATTCATCATTTGTTAATAATACTAGAACTTTAATTCTAGTATCTGAATCAACTTTTTGACATTCATAGGCAAGATGTGTTTTAAGTTTACTCGGTTTAGCAGTAACCCAGTAATGATTACAAAAAGAGCACATTGTGAAGTAATATCCTTTAGATGTTTTATTTTCATTTTCTTTTACAAACCACATTCAAACCTCATCATGAGGATGTCCACCTTTTGCTTTTTTCTTTGCTAAAGATTTTTTTAAAGATTTTTTGTTCGCTAACATTTTTTTATTAAATTGTGAAGAAAATTTAAAGCAATTATTATAAAAATTTTATTTAAAACATTTAATTTTATTTATTGTTTTCTTTTTTAAGAATTTTGACTATTATACAATGCTTCGTTTAGAATTTTAATCTTCATATAAAGGCTTTAATTAGATTTGACTTTGGTTAGCCTTTTGACTGAAGATTTATTTTCAGAAATGATCGTTCTGGGTTGAAACTTGATAAAATCTGAAACCAAAACTAGGTCAAAACTCTGAGGGTTTCGGCCACATGTATAATCAGTATAATAAGAGAAATCAATGAAATAAAGTATATAATTATAATAATAAGTATAAACATTTTAATTAGTATATATGTTATAAGTAATATAAGTGATATATTATGAATAGAGTATATAACATATCTTATATAAAAGAAAGTATATAATAAAGACTTCAAGCTCTATAAAGAAGACATTTATTATTCGTGATTCAAATAAAAATGTCTCCTATTAATAGTATTCTATTTTTGCTACAATAATACTTACAATTATAAATTATTTACTCACAAATATAACATGTTGTGATAGAACGAATTATTATTATTTTATTAATATTATTATTTATTATTATTTTACTATTTTATTATTATTATTTAGTATTAGTTATTCTATTATTGTATTGTTATTATTAGTAAAAGTTGCCAGAATATTCCAGTTGATTAGTAATTGCTTAGTCACTTAGACGCTTAGTTGCTTAGTCACTTAGTTGCTTAGTTGCTTAGTCACTTAGTTGCTTAGTAATTAGTCGCTTAGTAATCATTAGTTATTAGTTGCTAGAACCTTCCGGTCACTTAGTAATTGCTTAGTTGCTTAGTCACTTAGTCGCTTATTCGCTTAATCGCTTAGTTGCTTGGCTGCTTAGCCACTTAGCTCACAAATATATAAACCCTGCTAAATTTCCATGTGTGATTAAGCAACAAACACCCCTTTCCCCTTTAATATTGTAAACACATCTTGGGATTCTTTAGTAACAGAAACCTAAGGATAGCCCTTTTTGTTATTACTTTAATAAATGGCTTTTGACTATAAACTGTATTGATACTCCCCTTCTAGGGTAATTTCTACAGGCAAGGTTTATCTCCTCTTAGTGAAATAAAGTAAAGTTACAAGTATTGCATTACCTTTCCCGAACTGCCTCAGAGAAGGGTATAGTTTCTTGACAATGTCTAACAGAAGCTATACTTCCCTCTTGGACACCGCATATACCCGTAAGGGATTCCCTATGCTGTGTCATCATTATAGTATAAAAATTAAGAAGGCTTTCACCTATAACATTTGGTGCCTTCTGGTGAAAAAGTTAAATTTTTAGAAAAAAAAGTCACTCCAGACAAAACATACCTGGATGTATTGGAAAAGTTATCCTGGCAAGAGACCCAGACGTATTGGAAATGTTATCCTAGCAAGAGACTCAGATGTATTGGAAAGTTATCCTGGCAAGAGACCCAGATGAGTATTAGTTATCCTAGCAAGAGACCCAGATGAGTATTAGTTATCCTAACAGAGTCCTGGATGTAAAAACATCACTTCTTTATGGTTCACACTGCTGCTGAACTCTACAACGAAAATATTCAAAGCTATCAACAAGCACATCTAATTAGACCTCATCTTGCAGTAGATGTACTTCAAGCACATCATTCAGATTTATCTTGTTTACAGTGTTACTTCCCTCGACATACTAGCCCTCGCTCAGATTTTGGATGATTTTGGACTTGGTATCAAACCAACTTTGAAGCTCAATATTATTCCTCTCAAACTTAGGACAACTTTACTGTTCTTACTACCTTATATCCAAACCGAATTACAATTCGCCTCTGTATTAGAAATATTATTTTTAGTTGTCGATACCAACAAAACCTTGGTGATCTTCGCACAATTGCTTTAACTTTAGTTAGAAGATACACCAACTTCTTTCAACTTCCTACTATACCTTTCGAGTATCAAAATGCTTTTGACCTTTATCTTAACACCTCTCTAAGTTTTAGTTTTGAAAAACTAGGAGAATTTAGTCAACATCTTGGAAATTTAGAAAGTCCTATCCTACCACCTACTACTGATATTATTTATACTGATAATATCCCCTTCTTACATGACCCAGCAGATAGCTTAGCTTTGTATAGTGAATTAGTTACATCCACTGAACTTTCTGAAAGTCACTATACTCCTGATTAGACTTTACAAATCCCTCTACTACTTACTAATAATATAGAAACAGAAGAATATATTACTGCTTCTGTAGAACTTACAGGAACCTCTAGCTCAGATCACACTCCTACTGACTCACCTCAACAAACTTTTGAAAATAGTCCTCCTCCTTCACCTCCACCTCAACTTGCT